GAAATGTCACCTACATTGGCATGTTTTCTGAAGTTACAAAGTTTCGAAGTCATTATGTGATTTTTGTAGTTAGAAGTTGGGAAGACATAAAAATTGGAGTCATTTTATACTTTATAATTTTTTTTTTAGTTGCTATTACAGACTTATTTTTGCACTTAATACTTCAGTACACAGATATAATGTGTTTTCTCCTTAGTGAACTAAGAGAAATACCTATTTACGTAAGAAGACAATTCTTTAAAATGCTTTTTGGTTTGGGGAAAAAAACATATTTTTGTTTGATAGAGGAGACCAGGTGTGAAAAGTTGCTACCTAAAACAGCACCCTTATCCTTTTTCAGTTGTTTGATTTCTCTGCATCACTTTATTAAGGCAGCTCTTGAGTTTTGTTTATCTGTGCTATTATCTGTAGGTGTATAAAAGCCTACACACACACACACAGCACACACTACACATTTTGCAGTTGGATGAGATAGCTTGGGTTCTAGCTTAGTTATATTTTAAAATTAGGTTCAGTTTCTAATCTGTTGTTATTTCTAGAATACGTATTTAGACTGACAGTATAATATCCACCCTACCTGCTTTTTAACCTTTCAGTTAAATGTGTATTTGAAAATAAATGTTGGGAAGATCCTTTTGTATAAATAAGGTCATACTAGACAGAAAACAGCTGAGTTTTCTAAAGCTGAACTTGATTTCACTTATACATGAGTGAGTACTAGAGAACTCATTTACTCAGTGAAATTCTGGGAACTATATTTGGAGACTGTAATTGCAAATCAACTCCTATAAGTTTATAATTGATATATATTTTGATCTTTTGTGACACTAATCAGAATCTTATTGTTAGGCCTGTATGTAATTTCTGGCAATTATAAATCTTTTGGCTTTGCTGCATTATTTTTGTCATGTATATTAGCGAAAGAGAATGGGCATACTTTTTTCTTATGAACCTTACTGCAGACAGAGTCTCTTTATATACTGAAGTAGCTCTGATGTTACGAAATGAATCCATAGCCTGTTGAAGTTTGTTCACGTTGATTTTCATATTTCAGTGAAAAAACTCATAATTAATTATAACTTAAAATATTAATGGGAATACTTTTACTACAATAGAATAGAGCTCTAGAGTAGAGAAACATGTTTTGTTAAAACACTTTCTAGTAGTTAAATACAGTTTTGGAAAGTGACCAAACATAGGTGACTTTTGGGATCAATATTTATCTAAAATAATTTTCAAAGTACATATTTCCTATTACAGTAAATTGTGGGCTGGGCACAGTGGCTCATGCCTGTAATCCCAGCACTTTGGGAGGCCGAGGCAGGTGGATCACCTGAGGTCAGGAGTTCGAGACCAGCCCAACCAACGTGGTGAAACTCTGTCTCTACAAAAATTAGCCAGGCGTGGTGGTGTGTGCCTGTAGTCCCAGCTACTTGGGAGGCTGAGCTGGGAGGATCACTTGAACCTGGGAGATGGAGGTTGCAGTGAGCTGAGATTGTGCCACTGCACTCCAGCCTGGGTAACAAAAGTGAAATTCTGTCTCAAAAAAAAAAAAAAAAAATTGTATAAAGCTGTTTTATTCACATGGTTTTATAATTTATAATAACTGAAGGAAATACTTAGGTATATTGTTGTACTTAACATTTATTAAGAAAAGGTACTTTATTTTTCTTAAGGCAGAGGAAATACAACCAGTTAAACACATAGTCATCTATATCATGGTTGACTAGGGTAATTGGAGAAGGTCTGAGTTACAACACATGTCATGATTTGTTTAACCAGCACCACAGTCAGGACACAGAATAGGATACAAGATACTGCTCTCAGGACTCAGCTCCTATCAAAACCTCCTTCACACCGCCCCTTGGTGGTCACACCCTATCGCTGCCTCTAAGGGTTGAGGACCTCAGGTCTGTGTCTTTTGAGACTAGCTTCTTCACTTGCTGTAACGCCTCATCCAGGTGGTTCTGTATATTAAAAGTCATGTCTTTAATTGCTGAGGAGTGTTCCATTACATGCATATCCATTAAATGCACGTACAACAGTTTTTTCATTCACCTTTTGAGGGACATTTGAGTGCTTCCATTTGTTGGCAGTGAGGAACAGAGCTGCTCTAAGCCTTTGTGTACAGGTTTTTGTGTGAACATACATTTTTATTGCTGTTGGTAAATACCTACAAGTGAGATTGTTAGATCATATGATAAGTGTATGTTCAGTTTTTAAGAGACTACCAAGCTGTTTTCCAAAGTGACTGTATGATTTACATCTCTTTCAGCAGTGTGTGAGAGTGGTAGCTTTGCGTCTTTACCAGCCCTTGATATTCTCAGTTTAAAAAGTGTAGCCATTTGAATAGGTGTATAGTGGTTTTAATTTGTTGTTGCCTAATGATGTTGAGCATTGATTCATGCACTTATTTTATCTTTGTGTCCTCTTTTACCTGTTGAACTCTTTTGCCCATTTTTAAAAATTGGGTTGTATGTGCTTTTTTTTCTTTTTTGATGTGGAGTCTCACTCTGTCGCCCAGGCTGGAGTGCAATGGGGTGATCTCGGCTCACTGCAACCTCTGTCTCCTGGGTTCAAGCAATTCTCCTGCCTCAGCCTCCTGAGTAGCTGGGATTACAGGCGTGCGCCACCACGCCCAGCTGTTTTTTTGTATTTTTAGTAGAGATGGGGTTTCACCATGTTGGTCAAGCTGGTCTTGAACTTCTGACCTCAGGTGATCCACCTGCCTCAGCCTCCCAGAGTGCTAGGATTACATGCGTGTGCCACCGCACCTGGCCTGGCTTATATATTTTCTTGCTATTTTATTTCATTTTATTTTTTTAAATTGGAGTCTCGCTCTGTCGCCTAGGCTGGAGTGCAGTGGCATGATCTCGGCTCACTGCAACCTCCGCCTCCCAGGTTCAAGCAATTCTCCTGCCGTGTGCCACCATGCCTGGCTAATTTTTGTATTTTTAGTAGAGACGGGGTTTCACCATGTTGATCAGGCTGGTCTTGAACTCCTGACTTCGTGATCCTCCTGCCTCGTGATCCACCCACCTTGGCCTCCCAAAGTGCTGGGATTACAGGCGTGAGCCACCGTACCCTGCTGCGTTGTATATTTTACTGTTGTTTTGAGAGTTTTTTTTTTTTTTTTAAATATATTCTGGATTTAAGCTCTTTGTTAAATAGGTGATTTGCAAATATTTTCTCCCACTTTGCATCTTGTCTTTTCATTCTCTTAACAGTGTCATTCCAGAGCAAAAGTTTTTAATTATGAAGTTCAGCTTTTAGCTTTTTTTAATGGATTATATGTGTAGTGTCATATCTAAGAATGCTTTACCTAACCTTAGTTCTTGAAGATTTTCTCCTATGTTTTCTTCTAAAAGTTTTATGCTTTGACATTTTACAATTAGATCTGATTGATTTTAAGTTAATTTTTGTTCGAAGTGTGGGGTTTAGGTCATGGTTCATTTTTCTTGCATATGGATGTCCAGTTGCTCCAATACTATGTTGAAAATACTGTTCTTTCTCCATTGAATGACTTTGCACCTTTGTCAAAAATGAATCGGCAACAAGACCATCTTAGATACCCCACTAAGATGGTTATAATAAAAAAGACAGTAACACTTATTGGTGAGGATGTGAAAAAATTGGAACCCTCATTCATTCCTGGTGGGAAACCACTTTGGAGAACAGTTTGGAATTTTTCAGCAAGTTAAACATTGTGTTTTACTGTGATCTAGCAGTTCCACACCTAGATAGTATTCTACCCAAGTGAAATAAAAACATGTCCACAAATACTTGTACATGAATGTTAAGAGCAGCACTGTTTTTAATAGCCGAAACATGGTAACAACCCAAATGTCTGTCAACTAATGAAGGGGTAAGTGTCGTACATCCATACACTGGAATGTTGTTTGGCAATAAAAAGACGTGTACCTTGAAAACATTAGAATAAATTAAAGGAGTCACAAAAGACCACATATTGTATGATTCCATTTACATGAAATATTCAGAATAGGCAAATTTATAAAACAAAGGAGAGTAGTGGCTGCTTAGGGCCAGGAAGGTATGGGAGAGAATGGAGAGTGACTGCTAAAGATTATAGAGATTTTTAGGGGCAATGAAAATATAAAAACGCAGATTTTGGTGGTGATTGTGCAACCCTGTGAATATACGAAAACCATCGAATTGTACATTTTAAATGGGTGAATTGTATGGCATGTGAATTACAGCTTACTTAAATTGTTAAAAAACGAATGAGCCATTTTGTATAGTTGTGTTTTTGGACCATCTTTTCTGTTTCTTTATCTATGTTTCTGTCTCTTTGCTGATGCCAATCTGTTTTGATTATGGTAGCATTATAAATGTGTTCCTTAAAGTTGGTAGTACAGGTGTTCTAATTTATTCTTTCCAAATTGTTTTGGCTGTTCTACCTCCTTTGGCTTTCCATACACATTTTAGAAACCACTCGTTTGTGTTTACAAAAAGTCCTGGTGGGATTTTGATTGGAATTGTGCTAAATCAACACATTAATTTGGGGAGAATTGACCTATTAATTATTAAATCTTCCAGTGTGTAAGTACTTCCAGCGTGTAAATACAGTGTATCTCTGTATTTAGGACTTCTTTCATCAGTTTTGTAGTTTTTGAGCATATAGATCATATGTGTTTTGTTAGGTTTATATTTAAGTGTTTCACCTATTGTGAAGCTGTTGTAAATGATGGCATTTAAAAATTTTGTTTTTCAAGTGTTCTAGTATGTAGAAATAACTCTTTTAAAAAAAGAATTAACATTGGATCCTCCATTCATGCTGACCACATTTGTTAGTTCTCTGAACTTTTTTGGGGTAGATTCCATGGGATTTTCTATGTAGACAATCATGCCTTTTGTAAACAGCTCCTATTTTTTTATTCCTTTCCAATGTGTATACACTTTATTTCTTTTTCTTGCCTTATTTCCTTGGCTAGGACTTGCAGCATAATATTTTTTGTTGTTGTTGTTTTGGGCTTTTAAGGTTTTTTTTTTGGAACAGTCTGGTCCTTGATGGGGGCCTCTCCCCCTACCCCTCCCCAGTCTGGCTATAGCTCAGATCGTCGCTCGATTTTGAGCAGCTCCACCTCGAACACCAGGGTTGCACCGCCTGGAATCTTTGGGGGAGCTCCCCGCTCTCCATACCCCAGCTCGGATGGGATCACCAGCTTGCACTTTTCCCCCCTCACATCCCCGGCAGCCCCTGGCCCCAGCCCTTGATGACCTGGCCTATGCCAAGGGAGAAGACAAAGGGCTGGTTCTGGGGCAGGCTGCTGTCAAACTCTGTCCCATCTTCCAGCTTCCCCGTGTAGTGCATGTGCAGGACATCCCCTTTACGCGATTTCATGGTACAGTGGTCCACCTGCTTCTTGACCCCAATCTACAGCTTCCTTTTGCCCTCGGCCCCCGTGGCCGTGGCCACGGCGCTCAGGCAGATGGACAGTACTGTCAGGACCTGGACCTGGCTCAGCCTTGTGTCTCTCCTTGCCGCGCCCCTGCAGTATAATATTGAATAGGAGTGGTAAGATTAGGTAGGCATCTTGGTCTTGAAACCGATCTTCTGGGGAAAACCTTTGGTATTTTACTGTTAAATGTGGTTAGCAGTAGGTTTTTTAAAAAAATTAATACTCCCTATTAGTTTAGGGAACTTTCTGCCTGCTTCTAATTTGCGGGTTTTTTAAATGAAAAGATGTTGAATTTTGTCAAATGTATTTTCTGCATATATTGATACGATCTTGTAATTTTTCTTCTGTATATGTTAATGTGGTGGATTGTATTGATTGATTTTTCTTCCCTGGATGAACCGCATTTGGTCATGGTGTGTTATTGCTTTCATATATTACTGGATTTGATACATTGAGCTTTTTTTGTTTAGTATTTGCATGGTGTATATTTTTCCATCTCTTTTACTTTTATGCTAACTATATCATATTTAAAGTGGATTTCTTTTTTTTTTGTTTTTTTGAGACAGAGTCTTGCTCTGTTGCCCCGGCTGGAGTGCAGTGGCATGATATTGACTCGCTGCAACCTCCATCTCCCAAGTTCAAGTGATTCTCCCACCTCAGCCTCCTGAGTAGCTGGGATTACAGGCGAGTGCCACCACGCCTAGCTAATTTTTGTATTTTTTGTAGAGATGGGGTTTCACCATGTTGGCCAGGCTGATCTCGAACCCTTGACCTCAAGCGATCTGCCTACCTTGGCCTCCCAAAGTGTTAGGATTACAGGCGTGAGCCACTGCACCCGGCCTAAAGTGAGTTTCTTATAGACAGCATGGACCTTTCCTTTTTAATTCATTCTGATAATTTCAGTCTTTTAATTGATGTATTTAGACCATTTACATTTAATGTGTAATATGTTTGGATTTAGGTTTGGCGTTCTCCCACCGTTTTTGTTCCTCTTGTTCCCCTTTCTTGCCCTCTTTTAGATTATTTAATATTTTTAGTATCTTATTACTCTGTTTTTGCTGAAATAGGAACTTCTTAAAATATTTTTAGTGTTACAAATTAGGGATTAATGTATTTCACATGAACTTAAAAGTTTTACTCTAAATACTTGTGAGTTCTTTTTTAGGTTAGAGAGCAATTTTTTTTTTTTTTAGAAAAGAGTACATCTTCAGTGAGACTAAGTGAAAAGACCAGGATTTAATCAGAGATTTCTACAGTATAGATATGTTTTTGGTAATTTTGTTTCTGTATGTCTCTGTAATCTACTTTTGAATACTGGGAGAATTATTTTACCATTATCTTTTGTTCAGAGTTGTATCTGACACATTTATCTTATTTTTACTTTTGTCTTAAAAAATGCATACTTAGTCTTCAATTTTACGACAAAGTTATTTTTACTAAATGAAAGGGTGGACATGAAGGGATAAGATCATGAACCAGAGTAATGGCTGTGGGCTTAGAGAAGAGATCAGATGCAGGGAGAATTTCTGAGCCTGATAGGACTTGGCAACTGATTTGATGTGAAGGTTGAGGGGAAGCATTGGATGAGTGGTGACCTAGAGGCAATGTTGTTAACATAATCAAGTAAGTTTGTAGATCACTGCACACTGCTTTTCCCTCTACTAGAGAGTCCAATGCACATAGGCACATTACTTAGAAGCCCTGTAATGAAAAATATCCCTTTAGTTTTGTTTAATATTGTGGTTCCCAAACTTACTTGATTTTGAGAAACTTTTAACTTGTAATGTCTGTTATCTCACAGAGCATTCTAAAGAAAATCTTGACTTAGGAATACATTTTTAGGCAGATTTCAGAAGAAAGTGGGTGATAAGACATTGTTAGCACCGAATACAGCTTTTTTTTTCTTTTCTTTTCTTTTCTTTTTTTTTTTTTTTTAAGTGATAGGAGAAGAAAAATTGTATACGAGGTACATCAGGTCATTCACAAGATGGGCTTTTTTAAAAATTATTTTTTTGGTAGGTTATATATGGACATGATATAAAATCTAAAGGATATTTATTAAAAAATAACTATGCTTCCTTTTCTTGTTCTTTAACATCCAGTTTACCTCTCTGGAGGCATTGCTATTATCAGTATCTTACTCATTATTCCAGGGATATTCTGTGCGTTTACAGCTATAGACTTAGGCATTCCCACCCCACCCTGTACACATCCACTCAAATTGTAGGCACACTTTTTTTTCTTTGCTTTTTGTTTTGGCAGCTTGCTGTCTTATTCTTTTCATGGCTGTATAGTATTATATTGTACCATAGTTTATTTAGCCAGTCCTTTTCTCATAGGCCTTTAGATCATCTTCCTTTTTTTTGCTATTGAAAGCAATGCTGCAGAATAACCTCTGTGTGTGTGTGTGTGTGTGTGTGTGTGTGTGTGTGTGTGTGTGTGTGTGTGTATGTATCATTTTGTACTTGTGTATATCTGTAGGATGAATGACTAGGATTGAATTGCTGGCATGAAGTGAGTTAGATTTTTAACTTTGACAGTGCTGGCCTTAACAGACTGACTGACTACACCTTTGCCAACCCATTGTGTTTGCAAAGTTTTTTTGGAACTGATAACCTTATTGTAGGCCCCCTGGCACCACTAACTAACTGTCTTCCTTTTCCTCCCCTCCCCTCCCTTCCCTTCCCCTTGTTTACATGGTTGGTCAGCAATAACCACCATCCATCTCCAGATATTTTTCATCTTTTTAAGCTAAAACTGTACCAGTTAAGTGATAACGCCCCATTTTTTCCTTCCTTTCTCCCCCCCATCCCCTGGTAACCACTATTCTACTTTCTGTATGAATTTGGCTATTCTAGATACCTTACATAAGTGGAATCCTGCAGCATTTGTCCCTTCGTGTCTGGATTATTTCACTTAATGTTTTCTAGGTTCGTCTATGTTGTAGCACATATCAGAATTTCCTTTTTAAGGATGAACAATATTTTATTTTGTGAATAATGTGAATTATTCTGTTCGCTATTATAAATAATACTGCTATGAATGTAGGTATATAAATATTTATTTAGTTCCCTGCTTTAAATTATTTGGGGTATATATCTGAAAGTGGAATTGCTGGATCATATGGAAATTATATATATATATATGTCTATTTTTTTTTTTGAGACAGAGTCTCACTCTGTTGCCCAGGCTGGGCGTGCAGTGGTGCAGTCTTGGCTCACTGCAGCCTCCGCCTCCCAGGTTCAAGAGCCTTCCTGCCTCAGCCTCCCGAGTAGCTGGGACTACAGGTGTGTGCCACCATGCCTGGCTAATTTTTGTATTTTTAGTAGAGACAGGGTTTCACCATGTTGGCCAAGCTGGTCTTGAACTCCTGACCTCAGGTGATCCATCTGCCTCAGTCTCCCAAAGTGCTGGGATTACAGGCGTGAGCCACCGCGCCCGGCCCAATGTTTTGTTTTTTAAGGAACCTCCATTCTGTCTTTCACAGCAGCTGTACCATTTTATATTCTCACCACCAAAATAGAAGGAATCTGGTTTTCCCACATTCTTGTCAACACTTGTTACTATATTTTTAATATATAAAATAAATATATTTTAAAGTGGCATACCACCAAGGAATATAGTTTGAAGTGGATTTGAAGTGATACATCATCAGGGTTTTGGTTTGTATTTCTTCAGTGATTAATTATGTTGAGCATCATTTCATGTGTTTATTGGCCACATGTATATCATCTTTGGAGAAATGTCTATTTAAGTCCTTTGCCCATTTTTTATTGCAGTTGTTTGTTTTTCTTGTTGAGTTGTAGTTCTTTATGTATTCTGGATATTAGTCCCTTATCAGTATTTTCTCCTGGTCTGTGGGTTGCCCTTTTACTTTCTTTTATTTTTATTTTTTTGTCTTACTTAAAAAAAAAAAAAAAGTAGCTGCCAGGTAGAGTGCCCTTTTACTCTCTTGATAATGTCCTTTGATGCACAAAATTTTTAAATTTTCATTATCCAGTTAGTGTTTTTTTGTTTTTGCCTATGCCTTTCATGTCATATCCAAGAAATTGTTGCCAAATGTCATGAAGCAGCTTCCCTCTGTTTTTTTTTTTAAGTTTCCTAGATTTATCTCTTCATTTAGGTTGCTGTATCCATTTTGAGTTATATTTTATATATGCTTGTAAGGTAAGGGTCCAACTTTATTCTTTTGCATGTGTTTCCAGTTTTCTCAACACAATTTGTTGAAAAGACTGTCCTGGCCAGGAGCGGTGGTTCACTCCTGTAATCCCAGCACTTTGGGAGGCCAAGACGGGCGGATCATGAGGTCAGGAGATTGAGACCATCCCGGCTAACATGGTCCTTACCTTTTTGAATGGTTTTTACACTCTTGTTAAAAATCATTTGGTCATATATTTATGAGGTCTTATGTCTAAGCTTTGTATTCTAGTTTTTGGTCCGTATGTCTGTATTTATGTTGCTACCACATTATTTTGATTAGGGTAGCTTTGTAGTAAGTTTTGAAAACAGAAAGATGAGACTTCCAACTTAGTTTTTTTTTTTTTTTTTTTTTTTTTTCAGGATTGTTTTGGTTATGGGGGACCCTTGAGACTCCATGTGAAGTTTAGAACGGGCTTTTCTGTTTTTGCAAAAAAAACTACTGGATTTTACTAGGAGTTGCACTGAGTCTTTAGGTTGCCATGGGTAGTATTGACATCCTAATTAAATGTATTCACTCCATGAACATAGGATATCTATTTATTTGTGTCTTGTTTCAGCAACACTTGTAGTTTTTAGTGTACAAGTCTTGCACCTTCTTGGTTAAATTAAAGAGTTTAGTCCTTTTGGTTCTAGTTGAAATGGATTGCTTGTATTTCCTTTTTAGATTGCTCATTGTTAGTGCATAGAAATGCAACTGATTTTTGTGTGTTGATTTTGCATCCTGCAACTTTGCCGGATTTTTTTTATTAGCTTTACCAGGGTGGGTTTTCTTTTTGTTTTTGTTTTTGTTTTTGATTCTTTAGGGTTTTCTACATATTGCATATAAGATTGTATCATATGTTGGTAGTAGAGAGAACTAGACTTCTTTCTTTCCAATTTGGAGGCTTTTTA